AAAGTAATGGTTTGTGTTACAATGAAATTAATGGAAACAATAGCTACATAAATGATGAAAGACTTAATGTTTTAAAAAATCATAAACTATTCATGGCTTAGTATTTCAAAAAATCACAAACTATAAACTTTTTAATGATTTTAGCTCGTTTTTTAAAATTTATATAGAAAGGTCAATAATTAAGCATCCGATAACAATACTAGCACGGATCTAATTCTCTAATCAAAATTCCGGATAATGGTAACATGACGACCTACGTAAAAACATGATAGCTAGACTTTAGTAAGCCATGTAGGATCTACGTAAGCGATAAAATAAAAAATCAATTACGTGCATCCTACATGACTTGTTAAAGTTTAGTTATCATGCTTATGTGGATCCTACGTGGCTTTCTAAAATTTAGTTGCATGTTTTATCACTCGTAATGTTAGCATTGCGTAAAATTTTGATCAAAAAATTAGATCTATACTAGTATTGCTATCGGATGCTTAGTTGATGATCTTTTTATACAAATTTTAAAGAACGAGTTAAAATCATTAAAAATTATATAGTTCATGATTTACTAAAACATTAAGTAATGATGAAATAAAGAAGAAGAAATACAAAGAGAAAAAGAACCGGAAGAACTAGAGAGAAAGCAAGAAGAGGTAAGAGAGAAAGAATTTACGCTCACTTCACAAATAAGCTTCTCACACTCTCTTTTATTGTCTAACAAACTTAACTAACAAACCAACTAAGTGCTAACAAATTCATTGATTAATAACAACTTCACTTTAGTTCTTTTTGTTGGCTAAGATGCCATCTCGTCCAATTCACTTAACAATTTCATTGTCATACTGTCAAGCAAATATGATGGTCCAGTTTAGCACCAAAAGGTTACGTTAAAGAGCTATACTTGATGTGATTTTCATCCGATTTATGTTGTCATCAATTGCAAATGGATACTTCAAATAGGTTGACAACATTTAAAATGACAACTTTTAAGTATTTTCTTTTTGCTTTGATTATATGACTGCAAGTCTATAGTGTTAAAACATAATACAACCGAGTTGGTAAGGGCTACTTTCTTGTCCAAGTATAGGTGGGTACAATACAAACGACTCGGAGGATATATTTCTATTGTCAAGTTTTAAAAGCTACGGTTTAGAGTGGTGATGTCACGACATCGGAGTGGACCATGACCGGCACAAGAATCTAGGGGACTATGAGGCCTACCTCGACCTAAGCAAGCATTCGATACTAAACTAAAATCCTCAAATCATGATTGAACTTATACTTTAGTCCTCAAATCAATATCACTCAAGTATCATTTCAATTAACATTATCATAACTTAATAAGCATTTCTTACAACCTCAATATAATTCATAATTCAATACTTATAATCAATTCATAATACATTACTTATGGCTATAATCGTAGACCTTCTAAAAATACAATAAATCAATATAGGTTTTAAAAATTTTTACAAGAAAATAAGCCATATGATCAAGGTTCGGACTTCAAGCAAGCACCCAAAGGAAATAATAAGTAATTCCTCAATATTCTACAAAACTAAAATAACGAGGGATAAGCAATCAACAACTTAATAAGTAGATATTGTATAATACATTCAAAGGAAAGGAAACGGGCTAAGGACGACACTTTCAAATCCATCTCAAAATGCAATGCTTATTTCTTCAAAATATATGTATATCATAAAACCAAATCGTATGCCATAAATTTAAATAATTCGAAACCATTTCATATCAAATCGTTAAAATATTTATACATACATATATTGTACTCATACGAAATCACACATATATAGGTTTTTATACACCCGTGAGGTAATAACGTATCATTGGGTGCAAACATCCAAAGATCATGCCCTCCGTGACTAGGTTTCTATATATTAACCGACACACGGGCTAGTACTCTACCTTTTTGCTAGCCGGAGCCTCATATCATTGAGCTCAAAGGCTACGCCCCCTTAGCTAAGTTCCCTAGGGTCTCGAAAATATTTTTCAAAAACTAAATATGCTTATACATTTTTCAAGCTAGTATTTTAAATACCATGCATGCATTTTAAGAAATTATACGGATACTCAAAATAACGAATATAACATATTCATTCAAATCCGAAATCACATATCAATTTCAAAAAAATATTTATCCGAGCATATTCAAATCTCTTTTCAATTAACATCCAATCATTTAGATACAAAAACATTTCAAATATTATGAAGTCCGTTCCCATCCAAGTTCTATTGGAATACTTCCAAATCATTCTTAAATCAATGATGCATGATGAATACAATCAAGAGAATGTAAAATATAATGTACTATATAATATCCACTCACAATACAAATGACAAATCAAACAAATTTGAATGAATCAAGATGACCGAGATGAAATCTCCCACTCCGAAGAATCTAGCATCATAAAATGACTGAACATCCTTCAACACCATATATCAAAAAATAGCTTAAAACAATGAATTATTCTTGAAACTAGAATACAAGATGATCAATAAAATAGAATTGATTGGCGGACTTGAATCGATAACCTTAATTAGACTCTATGATCTTTCCAATAATTCTAATCCATTACTTAACTAAATCCAATCATTAACGAGTTCTTAATTAAATCATGAATTTTCAAGTCAAACATCTATTTAATCAATCCTTAATTAGATAATTAATTATATCCTAATTCATCCAATAATTATTCCATTTACCCCTAATTATTCTTCCATGACTTAATTCCTCATTTTCCTCAATTCTTGAATTTTTCAGTATTCATCATTTTCAATCTCTCAAATCCACCGAATTTCACTTCAAATTAATTTTTTAATTCACTTACTCAAGACAATTAGACATTATTCAATCAACTATAATCACTTAGAATCATCTTTCCCCAAATGGGTCTTAAGAGCCTTGATCTTAATCTAGTCAATTCTCCAAGAAAATCATAATTCAATGCAATTGCATTTTAATATCATCATTAATTACACATAAACTTCACAATTCAAAAACCAATGGGTCAAAAATCTTTCCTTCACACTTTGCTCTTCAAATTACAAATCAATTCTAACTTCCAAGCTTTTCAAGCTTCAAGCTAGCTAAACTTCATCTAAATCAACTAATTTAACTACAAATTAGCTCATGGATTAAAGAAGGAAGTTGGGAGAAAATGGGAGAGAAATGCATGAAGAGGGAGAGGAGGAGAAGAGAGCAATTTTTGGAAAGGAGCGCTTACGACCTTTAATTTATATAAACTCGTCTTTTTTTCCTTCGATTATTACAGGTGAGTAGTATTTGGTTCAAACCAAATCAAATTGAGTCAAAATATCAATTTTGGTTCCGTGTTTAATTAAAAAAAAAAAAGAACCAATTATTATTATTATTTTTTGGTTTAGTTTTTGAATTTTTGGATTCGGTTTATGTCAAAAATCATTTTTCTTAATTTTTAATTGTTATTTGAACCTTAGTACTTCTTCTTCTTTTTAATTCACTTACTCAAGACAATTAGACATTATTCAAGTAACTATAATCACTTAGAATTATCTTTCCCTAAATTGGTCTCAAGAGCCTTGACCTTAATCTAGTCAATTCTTGAAGCAAATCACAATTCAATACAACTACATTTTAATATCATCATTAATTATACATAAACTTCACAATTCAAAAACCAATGGATAAAAAATCTTTCCTTCACACTTTGCTCTTCAAATCCTAAATCAATCCTAGCTTTTCAAGCTTCCAAAGTTTCAAGCTAGCTAAACTCCATTTAAATCAACTAATTTAACAACAAATTAGCTCGGGAATCAAAGAAGGAAGTTGGAAGGAAGTGGTAAAGAAATGCGTGAAGAGGGAGAGGAGGAGAAGAGAGAAATTTTTGGAAGGAGGGGCGAGTTACTACCTTCTATTTATATTAGCCCATTTTTTTTTCTTCGAGTTATTATAGGTGAGTAGTATTTGGTTCAAATTGAATTGAATTGAGTCAAAATATCAATTTTGGTTCGATGCTTAGGCGACAAAAAAAAGAACCATTTTTTTTTCAGTTCTAGTTTGGTTTTTGAAATTTTGGATTTGATTTATATAAAATATCATTTTTTTTAAAATTTTTAATTGTTATTTGAACCTTAGTACTCCGAGTTTTCAATATATTTAAACAATCAATGTTTTTATTATTATATATTTTAGATGTGCATAAATAGATTTTCATTTAAATTTTAATATTTTATTATGTGGTATGTTTTTTTATTTTAGTCTCATATAAAAAATGTCTATATTATTTTTTATATGGATTAATTTAGACCATTTGGGCTAGAGGAAAGATTCCATAATTTATAACACAATTTTCTTTTTTACATATTTATATTATTATTATTATTTTAAAAAATAGTTTAAAATAAAAAAAACACACTTAAAAACCTAAATTTCAGTTTTAAAAATAAAAAAATCGAACAATAATAGGTTTAGTTTTGATAAACCAAAAACCGAACTAAAATGTTAACGAACCTAATGATCAGCCCCTAGCGGAGGACATCAATCATAATAAATTAATAATATCTATCACATATATTTGCATTAATGGGTCCATGGGCCTAAAAGTGGAAATGGAAAGAAGATATTCAGATTTAGGTGGCCATGAATAAACCTTACCACTAATGGTGGTCGTAGAAAGTAATATCCATGTGGATTAACATTTAACGCTGAGATTTGCTTGTGTCCAATAAAAGGCTGCAATCCCTATTCACCTTATCCAGCATTTCGGCCATGATTACTGCCAAACAACGAACGAGGTTTGGTTAGGAAAGCGCACACGTGTGCAACTTACTTCCTTACCGTTAAAACTTTCCGTTCTCGCGCAAGCAACCGCCATTTCTTCTTCTTGCACGCTTTAGTACTACTAATGGTCTACAGCAGTCTACAGTCATGTAAATATCAAAGGCTCAAACTGCTCCACCGGTGAAACCATTAAGAGTGGAGATTTCCCCAAAGTGGTTGGCTATCCATGTTATCTGTTCCTAATTTCCCCGGTGGCAACGCCGCTCTGTCATCTTCACATTCGTTGGTACCACCTCGCCCTGACTTCTCTTACCACTTGGTGCTAAAGAAAGCAACTGCTATCTCCAGATGTCCTTGCAATTGTTCTTTGGGACTCCAGGATCCTTTAGAAGAATCGAGAGAGATTTTTAGATTAGAAACACAGAATGATGGGAATGATCTTGTTCCAAGTGACCTAGAAGGAGATGAGGAACAAGAAGAAGAGAAAGGGATTTCAAAAATACAAGTGAGCAGGGAGAAATACATACCGGTTTCTAAGACAGAGCTTTTGGATGCTGTTTTATTGAATTTATTCGACTCTCAAAATGATGATAATGATGAAGCTAATCAGTTCCTTCTTCTCTCTTCGTGAGTGAACTAATCTGCCTCAATTGCTTCTTTTTTTCCAACTAATCTTCAATTTTATGTTGGAATTTTGTGTAATTAATTGCAGGTGTTTGGACTCTATTCTTCACGCAGAACACAAAAGCATTTTAGAGGAAATGCGGGCAGATTATTCACTCACTCAATCCATTGATGATGAGAGGATAAGTAATGGGAGATCAGGTAGTTCAGATGAAAGAGATGCGGCTCATGGGAAAATTTCTGATTCGGTTAGCAATAACATCAATGGAAATGGGAGTGTGAATAAATTCGAAGAGGAGACTGAAGTTGATAGAACATTGCGTTTTGATTATGGTGTAGAATTGAGAAATTTTTTAAGTTCTTCAGTAAGAAATGACAAGAGAAGTTCTAATGGAGAGTCCAGGTTTGTCGTAGACTATCTTGTAGGTTCGGTATTAATCGTAATTTAAACTGTTTTTAAAGAAGTCAGGATTAACATGATCTGCAGAAAAGCCTTTCTTCAGTCTCCATAGATTTATAGATTAGAGTACATGATCTAAACGTTTAGGATGTCAGTTAATGTATTGGTTTTGATATTTTTGTTACCATTCAGCCGTTATCCTGTCGTGTGTTTGTGTGTGATATTCGTTTTGCAAAATTGCTTGTAGACTTGCCGTTGCCACGCGCTTCCAGCGTTCTTTCATGCAACTTCTTACTAATGCACAGTTTGAAGAGCTATCAGCTAGGGATTTGATGCTGACATCTGCCTTGAACTCAGATTACCTCCTCACTTTGCCAATATATGTGGACTGGAAGAAAGCATCTGAATCCAATGCAATAATCTTCAGGTTTTTCTATGTTAGTTCAGTTAAAGGGCTGCATCAGTCGGTTTTCGAGTACACATAATATTTGCAATCTGCTTACTTTTAAGCTGATATTCTTTACAGGAGGGGCTATGAAACGGAGAGGCAGAAAGGTCTGCTGATTGTTGAAAAGCTGGATTACATTCAGTCCAGGCTTCTGCAGGGAATTTTCTTCCTTATATCAAAACCAGTGGGGAAAGTTGGCACATGGATAAAGGAGGTAGCTGCCTTTTCCACGACTACTGTAAAAAAAATTTAAAATTCAACTGGCTGTTGTGAATGGATGATTAATTGATAAAATTGATCAAATATTGCCTTTTTATCTGAGATTGAGGGGCAAACCAAAAATCTATATTTCCAAACTTGTTCGGCAGTTAATCTTTGAACAAAGTTAGTAAAAAATTGCGGGAACACAATTGCAATTCTTCAACTGCTGTCTCCATTAAGTAGTTTTCTTTTTCCTACTTTGTTGTCATATTTCAGCTTACCAAGTGTTTCTTGGGACAGGCTTTTCGAAATGCTTCTGAGAGCCATGAAGTACAAGATGGGGTTAAGAAAATGACACCTTGGCTTGAGCAACTGTCACTTTTTCAGCAATCATATTTTAGTAACGAACAAGCTGCTGATAATCCATTGGTGAGTGACCAACTATCAGATAGTGAACTTCCAATTTGGCTAGCAGCACAGAGGGCAGTAAGCCGGTATGAAGGATTTCTGTCACCTGTTGGACCCCGCGGAAGGCTCTTCAGGAAGCTACTCACATGGACTGGATTTGTACCTCCTTTGCCAGAAAAGCCATTTGAGCCTGACAGTTACAGCAATCCTTCTCAACCTCATTTAAGGTTTGTGGCATTTGAATTTGTTCTTTCTTCTTACCATAGCCATTTCTCCCTTCTACAGGCTTTTCTTTTCTTTTTTCTTTTTTTTCCCTACTTGTCGCAAATTTAGTTATCCATTAGGTTTTAAGTGATTGACTGTAACTTGACTGTTCATGAATCTAGCCCATTTAATATCATGGACTTGTCTTGCAAAAATGTATCAATTCAAATTATGTGAACATAACTGATTTCTGGGTTCCAATAGGGGTAAGCTAATAGATGTAGGCTTTAGGTTACTGAGTAATCTGGACAAACAGACTAATGATTAAAATATTATTTGAATTTCTCTGATGCTTCACAAAATTCAATGATCATTAAACAAGAAAGGCCATTATAAAGTATATGATTGCAGTCATCGAACAGCTACAGATGGATTCAGACTGGAACCTCAATGATTAGAAAGTTCCTGGAAGTTGTTGAATTATTAAAGTCAACTTGGAAAATAAATGTGTTTCATGTAACATCCATGGTATCTTCTGTGTCTGTGTTCCACGATGATTTGACTAGCTATTGTTTTATATAGTTTATAATTGACCATTATGACCTGAATGACTGACCAAGTAATTAAAGTTATTTTTCACTCAGGCCAATTTTCTTATCAAGGATATCAATTAGTGATATATGGAGACCTGCTACAAAAAAACATCTCAGAGACAATATTTGGAAAAAGCTAAAAACTTCCTTTTCCATACTTCTTTCTCAGTCAGTCCTCCAGGTATCTTTTCATATGTATAATTCACTTTTTTTTTTTCCCTTCTCATCAATTGCTTTCCTTATGTAGTATATCTTAAGGATAGATGTTTAAGCCCCCAGGTGAATGTGCAAACACCATGTAAATAGAAATAAAGTGTTGCTTGTAAGTATGTTTCTAAGATATTCTGAATGAGATTATTCTTCAAACTTTGCATGTTCCTGATTAGGAGCCTGCATTTCAAGAATTAATTTTGCTTTATACCACGGAAACAAGTGACAGCGATGCTAAAAATAAAGCTGAGGTTCCAGCATTGCAGCTAAAGATCTATGAGAGAATTCCCATTCCAGATCTACCTGTAAATACCTCTAACACTGCAATGTCTGTTAATGCTTTCTCACATTTTGTTCTAGTTTCTTGTGTTTCTGATGATTCAACTGTTCGCATATGAATTTTCACATTGTTATTAAATTATTTGTAGGTTGTTTTTCCACACAAAAAACTGTCGTTCCGTATCATAGACACGGTATGTTCAGGTTTAATCCCTTCTCTACATGTTCTAGAGCTTCTAAAACCAAATTGTGAATACTATATACTGAAGCTTTTCAAAGCAGTAGCCGGTGGTTATTCTAATATTTGATATTATGCCTGTCTTAACCTGGCAGACAGTTATTTGTAGTACTTATTGCCATTGATTATGTTATCCTATCCTGATAATTATCCATTATACAGAAAGGTGATGTGGATTTGATTTACCAGCATGGTTGAATGTGCTGAATTCTTTTTCCTAAACTTTGTCTGTAAAAGGGAGTGACAGCCTTTTAACTTGCTGAAAGTCTGAATCTGCCTTAAATTAACAGTAGTTTTCCCCTTCTACATATTTTACTTGCATAAATGAAAGGCATCTAAACAAGAGAATGTTCTTTTCCATTCTCCAAGGGTCATAAGAGCAGCTAGTTCATTAGCATATTTCTGTTTATTATTCATTCATATCATATTATCTCGTTAATGCTATAATTGACCTAGTAAATAGACTTTCTCAATGGTTGACGAAAGCTGAATAGGCCTTAATTAATACTATTGGCATCTTACAATTCCTGAGAATTGCAAGCTGCACTAGGCACACACACACTACCTACCATGAATTTACAAGTCCCTTTGAAACTCAGGGTAAATTTCTTTCTTTTTTTTGGGGTTGGGCAAGGCAAGACTGCTTCGACTCCATCAGCTGCACCCTCACCTGGATACATTTACCATGTGCAGTGTTCACATGGTATCAGTGGCCTTTCTAGTTCCTACTGTATCCTTCCTTGTAGTTGCTAAACAGTGCCTGGAGGGATCTAATCTTAAAGACATCGTCTTCTATGAAAATTTCTTCTGAGAAATCTGCTCTGATGTCTCTATTTCCTATCAGAATATGACTCTGAAACCCAGACCTCAAAAACACCTGCATTCATAATAGCAGGAGGCGGGGTGAAGGCCATTTCGCTACTAACCACTGAATCCCTTTTATTCCGACAAGAAATTCTTTATTGCTGCTGCTTGCAGATAATCCCATGAAGCATTCTTTAATGTGTCATTCTGTGTCCATTCTTCCATGGAGTTGAAATCCTTTGGTCCCACTTTTGCTCTTAGGACTTCTGCTGCTGCCTTTCACTCTTACAGCTTTGAAACTGCATTTTATCTCCTTTGCTTCTTTTGAATATCTACTCTTTTGCAGATGCACAAAAATCCTTTTGCACTAAAAGATTTCACTTCCCGTTTCTGCAAAAGAGGGAACATTTCAGCCCCTTTGTTGACTCTGTGGAGATTGCTGCTGAGAAGATGGAACAGAAAGGGCACCAGGTACATTTCCAGCTGCCACACTGTCTCTTCCTCTGGTCCCCTGGCCTCAGCTCCACCTGCCTTCTGTCTGTAAACAGAAAGCAAGTGTGGCTGCTGCTGGTCGTCCTCCTCTCTGTCCCTGTGTTTCTCTGTCTAGTCACTCACTCCCCTTGGCTCTGTTGCACCCTCACTCGCTCACACACTTCCCACAAGCCTCTTTCTGCAGCCCCTAAACACACTGAGACTGCAGCAGGCATGAATATGAATATCAAGTAGGGCACCCATACTGTGCTCTGGGAGTGTGTATTTAATTTCTGGAGCCTACTAATATGTAGAAGTCACTGTGATACTACTGGCTTCTTCTACATTTAACAGCACTTCTGAAAACTTCTTTGCTTCAGTATTTAAAACAGTTCATTTTCTTCTGGATGCTTCTGAACAGCAGCAAGTGAGAAACTCCTTTGATATTCCTTGTTTACGTTTTCCATAATTTCATACGGACGATAGCAATTAAGATAGTCGATTATTCTAATTTATTTTTATTTTAGTGGTATACTAATGGGAGAATTCGATTAAAGAATTGATTTCAACAATATAAGAATTATTTGAATTTTTTGAGTTACTGCTGTACCTTTTTCTCCCTTCATTTAGCCATTGAGCTTGATTTGTATAGCATTCTATTGTGCAAGTTATTTTGTATTTTCCTAGTTTTCCTAATTAATTTTCTATTTCTCTGAAAACTGTTAAATGCAGTATAAAGAAGCAATATTAGCATATGCGATCCTGCTTAAAAAAGAACGGCAAGGTCTGCTCATCCTATCCCTTTTTAAGTTTTCTATGTTGAAGTTGCACACACAATTTAGTCCTGTGAGGTTTTGCATTTGATCATTGTGTGGTAGAGGTAGAAATAGTACTCTTTTTAAGTACAGGATTTGGTGATGGAGCATCCTGAACTGCTTGATGGTGTTTTTTTTATCTTATCTCATTTTTTATTTGGATGAAGAGTGAGTAGGTACAAGAATCATAAATCAAGAATGAAAAGTCAAGTTCAATATAGCATAATGTGATCATCTGCACTAATGAAGGACAAGTTGATTGCCATTCCTAGGGAAGCATGCTTGGATTCAGTGCTTGCTGATTTATTGACTTTATAGCATTTTGATCAATGTTATATGATCTACAATCTCTGCTATGCATTTTCATATTTTTGGTTTTAGGTGGTAAATTTGTAGAATTTTGGATAATTTATACTCATTAATTTCCAAGTCAGCCTTCCTTTGCAACTGTGAGAGAGAGCTTGTAACTTCCTTTATTTTATCGAACATTTTCCTACTGTCTAGAAAAAACTGACATCCTTTTCTTTGTAAAGCATTTTAGTTTTCTTTTTAAGATCACTAGAGTTCTTACTGCAGGTCAATTGTCGCCAAAGTGTTGGAGATGAATGTGAGAGATTTCTGTATGATGTGTTTAAAGTAAAGGTAAATACCCGAGTCTAGTGTTATTTAGCAAAGCCTATAACATGTGCTAATCACTTATTTAGTTGGAATGAATGCAGGTTGAAATGCCAGTTGAAGAAGCAATGAATACTTTGGTTAGGCTAGGCCTTGTTACAGAAACACCCATTGATGGAAGAAGAACCAGGTTGCAGGTTGTTCCTTGTGAAAAGGTGCATGAGGTTCTTAAAGAACGTTGGAATAGTTTGCTTTGTTAGCGAAATCAAATCCAAGGTTTCATTTTGAAGTGAGTTACTGAACTTCTACACCTGGATAATTATAGGAAATTATCAGGTAAGGTCCATTTTATATTTCAAAAGGTTTAAAAGAAAGTGTTTAGGCAGTTAAAAGACCTTTTCTTTTCTCTTGCAATTTCAAAATATTACTTCAATATAGTTCTTAAAAGGACAAGAAATCAATAAGAAAGCTTAACGTAAAATTTTGGTTAAAATAAGTCTCAAATTCACGTATCTCAAATCTCAACAAAACGCTAACATGAGTTATCGTTGTTCCAGTCCTCAGATATTTGAACCCCAAATGCCTACATTTCCAAATCCATTTGCAGTCGCTGGGACAGGCGTTGTATGAACAACGGCATGACAAGGGGCAATTTGCACTAACCAATTTACCGCTGAAGTTTGCTTCAGAAATAGGAACGTAATTTCAATTGGCAGCTAAGATTATATGCAAAATGTTCGAGGCAGGCCCGAGAATTCTGTGTATACTTGCATCCCACCAAGCAGTTTTCAAATTTACAGCATTGGTCTCTTCAAATTGTTGCGTAAATTTACATCAAAATGCACAATAAATAAATAAATGAAATATGGATACATATACTAGGAGAGCAGTAAACTGAGCTGCAGAACGTTCGTTTCTTGTCTGCGGAGAAGGGGTAGAAAAAATAATGGTTGAGGGAATCCATTGCTTCTAAAAAAAACAAAATCCTCGCAGCCATTGGACTTCGGTCTCTTGCTTGATGGCTCTTATTTCCTGAGCTATTCATTCCCTCCATCCTGCCACTTCCATATCAAGTATTTGATTTTTCGTTTTGTGTATGCCGGGTAGTGGATGACACGAACAAGGGTTATCCTTCACAAGTCAAGAGGCTGAGCTCTGGTAAAGACAAAAACTCCACCACCTCCTACAGCACGCCCCAAAAGCATATTGCGATCCAGATAGGAGAGGTAATATAGGCCTCCCACTGATCGCCTGAAATATAAGCATGTTTCACAATTCAAATGTGCAAATTGGAAAGATTCAATGGAACATATATGCATGTATGCAATAAATTGTACCTCCCTGGGTCTGCTGGGTTTCTTACAGGAATTTGAGCTTTGAAAGCACGGATGAGCTGTAAGATCTGTGCAGAAGGATTCATAACTCTTGTTAAGAAAGAATGTATCATAATCTTCTGTTACAAATTGCTAAATTACTTAATAAAAGTTTAGAACCAAGGAACCCGGGGCTTGCATCCATAAAGTAAGAATATCGTTGAGATGTATGCGAATGTGGAAAAGGTATACATTGTGTATATCACTTGTCCGTAGAAAGCTTAATGAGAAGAAGTGTTTGGTGGTCGAACATTCAAAGAAAATTAAGCTTCAGCATCTGGCTGACAGTAGCAAAAGGAATTTGGGACCCAAGTATCTGATGTATCAGGTGGTATGCAATGCTAGAAATTAAACAGCACGATCTGGAATTAGAGATCTAGGTTCATGTACCTGTAGACTGAGAAATGAACGGGGTAGTATTGCTGGAGCTATTAAAGCTTGCAGCTCTTCACTGATTCTAATATTTTCAATGCTTATCTGCCAGATACAAAAGCAGTTTCAAACCATAAATGAAAATCAAGATTTGATATAGAAAATTGTGAACTAGTGAAGCAATTGTGAGGAAGGGAAGAGTTAAGATCATATAGATAACAGATAGAAAATACACTTAAGGTTTTTTAGAAGCTGACCTCTTCAAACTGAAGATAGATGTTACGTGCAGAAACAAGACTAAATTTTGCGGAAACAAGGAGAGTAGCACCTTCTTGTTCCTGCAAAGCATTCGAACCACAAAATGAATTAAAAGAAAATATGGTCACTGAAGAATCTCGCAAGCTTCTTTAAAAAAGTACAGGCTATCATCTTTAATAGAAAAATTGCTTTTCGGTCTCAAGTAGTTTTGGTTTTTCTAATATTTTTTTACTGTTTTCTTTTTCTGATCTTTTGGAGAGAAATCCCCATTCAACTGAGGCTCCTAGTTCCTATACCATTCTTTGTGGGTGCATGGATTTTACTCCTCCTTTAGACATTTCAGTCATTTTCCACTCAGAGTGCATGCACCCACATGTGATAGAGAGATCCTCAGTTCCTTGCTTTCAAGTCAGGAATAATTTACCCTGTTTTTTAAAGAAAAACGAGTGGATTCTCATTAAAGGAAACCAGGAACAATAAAGAAACAATTGAGTCACAAATTTGAGTACTAGACAGCATATCCTGGAATCTATTTACAAATATATGCAGGTGGTGATGGCTATTTCAGATCCAAAGTTCAAGCATAAAGAGGCTAATTCAAAAGTGGACATTTTATGCCTTACCAATTTGCTTGATAAAATATCAGTAGCTATAACTCAAAACATTCCAGACAATGCAGTGAAGAAAGGGAATGGAGAAGTTTACCTCTAACAATGTTGGGATACTCCATTGGACAACATTGCGAATGATACCTCCATCAGACTGATCTCTACATTCAAATTTCTGGAAGATCTGCCCGACCTACCCTTAAATTCATAGATAGAATAATAACAATGGCAGAAGAAGTAAAAATAACTTGGTTACCGTAAAAAAGAAAAAAGTACACTAACGTTAAAGAAGGAAAACAAAACAAACTAATTCATCTAGCAGAGTTGACAGTTGATATTGGTTAACAAATATGATTCATGTACAAATAGCCAAACTACAGAAATTGTGCAACTAGATACGTGAAAGTCAAATCAAAAAATAAAATGTCTCCAAGTAGAGAGGCTTCAAGAGAATTTCTTCTTCAACGTTTGTCTGCAAAAACAGTCACCAAAATTCTTCCAAGTTCCGCCACAATTTTCATGATAAAAAAGGAAGTGCATGGCGAGAGAACTTAATTATTTTATGGAAAAAAAAAATAATAAAATGAGATAAAAAGATGATAAATTTGAGCAGAAACTCTGTGTTACTATCTACCAAAGAACTTTCTAAAGTAGAGGCTTTATTTATCTCACCTGAAAGAAAGGAAACCTTGCAGCAGATTCAAAGAGAACGAGGACATCAGGTGCAGAGGTGTATTGTAGGCGCCACGTGCCATCCAGCCGCACCAGGTCAACTGGCTCACCCATGTTGTGTCCTTCCAAGCTCACCTGCCATAGTAACATAGAAACAATTATAATCACCAAAAACTTTCCTTTTTAGTACAAGAAGGGAAAGGGCCAGTTACAAGTCGAAAAGAAAGAAAAAATGCGAGAGACAAACTAGAGCCTCCTCAATAGAAGAGCGTTGATCAGGAGTGGTAACAAGCCCTCGTTGCGTGTCTTGGACCAATCTCAACAAATCATGTTTTTTGTTCTCAATCTCAAATTCAGCCACCTAGAAAACAATCGATGATTAAAACACTGATAAGAAAATGTACAGTATCAAACATCATCATCATGATTCAGGAAGAGATAAGAAAGATAAGGAAGAAGACAAACCTGAGTGATGTCAGTAGCTACTGTTGCTGAGCATGAAAAGTTTCTTCGAGTGTTGAAATTCCTTCTGGTGGCATTATAAGTAAAAGGGTAAGTTATATTGAAAATGGTTCTCTTTCCAATTGCAGGGTGCAAGGAAGTAGCAAAAACCAGGTTCATCTCTTCAACGGACAGGGCATGCGACCGATATCACTGCCTGTTATCCCCGTCTTTCTTTCCATTTCTTTTTCTGGTGGTTATTAATTAAGCAGTTGGATGTAAACGACAACTCATGCATTTGTTAACGACGAGTCGTCTGATATAACTTTTAAACAACAGACTCTCTCTCTGTGAAAATCTTCTGCTGCTGGGTTAAAGCCGACAAACGGAGGCAGAAGAACCGACCCGACAGGAGTTTACCATTCTCTCTCTCGCCGGACTTGAATTGAATGAAATTGAAATGGCGAGCAACTTGGTGATTTATCGGTCCTCTTTGTTATCATGCCAATGCACCAGCGCTGCTACTGTTATTGTAGGGAGAAGAACAGTAGCAATTACTGGAAGCCTTGGGTATGGATTTAGGGTATGCAAGTCGATTCGTCTTGCCAGAAATTTTGCTCCTACTCGAACCCTAACGACACAGCGTTTGTAGTTGCAAATGACGAAAAGTACGGCAACAAACAGAACATAAGCTTAACTCCTCGACTTTATGACTACATCCTTTCCAACGTTAGGGAGCCTGAGGTATTAATTAATTTATGCTTCTAAATATTGTTAAATTTTTTACTTGTGCGCACACTTTTAATATTTGATTTTACTCTCAGATTTTAAGGCAACTTCGAGAAGAGACTGCCTCTATGCGAGGTAGCCAGATGCAGGTAGGTATGTACCGAATTGGTTGTATAGTTTCAATTGAACTTGACAGTATCTTTCTTGAAAAAAATGGCTTCTTTTCTATTATATTCTACAGGTATCTCCTGATCAGGCACAACTGCTTGCCATGCTTGTCCAGATTCTTGGTGCGAAACGCTGTATTGAAATTGGTGTTTACACTGTATGCTGTTACATTTCTCTTTTCAGTTTATTTGGATGTTGTCCTTCTTCAATCCTTCTAGTCTTTTCCTTTATACAGCAGGCATGTATGCTCTTCAATCCATCCCCAGAAAAAAAAAAAAAAAATAGACACCTTTAACATTGCAGTAATTGTTATATGATTGTTTGAAGCAGAGAGATGTCTGACGAAATGTCAATTTACTGATATTATGCATGTTAAGAGTTGCAGTAATTTTTATAGAATTGTTTCTGTTCAGGGATATTCTTCATTGGCTGTTGCTTTAGTACTGCCAGATTCAGGTTGTTTAGTTGCGTGTGAAAGAGATGCTAAGTCTCTGGAGGTTGCAAAAAAGTATTATGAGCGAGCTGGTGTTTCCCACAAGGTAGGAGTCATATTTGATATTATCATTTTTCTCTTACTGAGTTGTAAAATTATTAGCATCATTTGGTTATATGGTATACAGCAATGAGGCATGCAGTGGTATAGTAGAGAATGCCATTTGGAAACGCAGAAGACTAGTTCTCTTCTTGATGAGTGCAGTTTGCTGCACTCATCAAGTTAGATCACGTGGTCCCTTTCTTTCTGCAATTAGTTCTATCACCATTTCACCACATATTTTCTAGTCTTAGCTCTGCTATTGGTTACTTGATAAGTTCAAAAGTTTTGTTTGAAATTAGGTCAATGTCAAGCATGGAATGGCAGCAGACATCCTAAAATCATTGATTGTGAATGGTGAATCCTGCAGGTAGTGCTTTTATCATGTTCCTTTGCTTTCATGTGGATCATGAGGCAATAGTTTTCAGGTTCGGTTAATTCTTTGTGATATTTTTTTCTAATACATGAGGGCACAAGATGACTTGGTTAGCATTTTTACGTAGTTTCTTTTTGTAGCTATGATTTTGCATTTGTTGATGCTGAGAAGAGAATGAATCAGGAGTATTTTGAATTGTTATTACAACTGGTAAGACCAATGTAATGATAAAAGCAGAATTTCCTTTATCCATTTCCACACTTGATTTTTTTTTCAAAATTTCTCTATCAAGTTTCTGCAGCAGTTTGTAAGTGTTGGTCTTGTTGCAGGTTAGAGTTGGTGGTGTCATCGTAATTGACAATGTCCTTTGGCATGGAAAAGTTGCTGACCCACTGGTGAATTATTGTTAACGAGATAGAATCTAGATGTTTGAATTAATTTAATTCTCATAGTATCTTTTTGAGCAGGTAAATGATGCTAAGACGGTTAGCATCAGGAGTTTCAATAAAAATATAATGGAGGATCTGCGTGTGAGCATCAGTATGGTATGTATATGAAATTTCTGTTTATTCTTTTTTTAATTCTAAAAAAAAAAAAAAAAAAAAAACATATACCGAACAGCTTTCACCACTCACTCTACAACTCTAAAGTCCAAACGTTTTGGATATTAGGTACCTATCGGGGATGGCATAACAATCTGTTGGAAGAGATGACTTTGTCACAGGCTGACAGTGACTTCTTGATTCAGTGATTCATTCCAGGGGCATAGATATCCTATGTGACAATTGAAGCAGTGCCTAATTGAACAGCCCACGAGAAGGCAAATTGAAGTTATTTCATTGACAATCAGCATATTGGTTAAATGTTGAGTTGTAAGTTGTATGATGATGATTAGCTGGCCTGGGAATGCGATTCAATGATGACAATTTTGAAATGAAAATGTGCGCTTAACTTGGGATCTGCATATGCTCCTTGAAAATTTTTGCTCCTGTTGCAAAAAAAATAAAAAATAAATCTATAGTTATTGCTATCAGATGATAACAGAAATTGTACCACAGATATTTATTATTATTATTACTGTAACACTTATTTAGGCAATTGGAAATCATATGGCATGATTGTATGTTGTATGGCACTTTGCCTTATCGTGAATATCTAGTCTTTGGCTGCTCTTCCAAGCGGAAATTGCCAAGTCTGCTTGTAGAAGCAACTATTAGTTCTGTCAGTGTGAAGTTTTAGTGAGCTTCCTTCTCTATCAGATCTCAGTTGGATTTTTCTTTCATGTACTAAAGCGATGTTTCTTTCATTGAAAAGCTCTACGTACCATTTAGGACGTACGATCAGTGATTCAAGATCTGCTCTATTATTGTCTGATTGTTTGAGGTTGAAGTTGGAGGTAGAAAGAATTCGAGTGCATAGCACCTCAAAAACAGGAAAGAGTTGGTAGTTAGAAAATCGTGTTGATGTGCCCGAGGAAAACAGTGGAATTGTAAGAAATATACGTCGCGTTGGTGATTTCAATGGCTGCTTTATATGTGTTCTACACATGGCGTGGCTGTAATATTAGGAAGGAGCTGTTTATATTGAACACCCCTAAGAAATCTAGCAATGCGTCCGGAACCCACCATCTCCAGGGTGCCAGCCTCTATTTGATAACGGTTGTTTCTACCACAACAGAAATGGCTGGAAATATCTGAGTGGGAAGAGAGATGCAAAAGGAAGACAGAAATGCATTTTGTGTGCATAAGGATTAAGGACATGGTAGATGAAGTTAGATAACATCCTCTAAGTTATTAACGCTTCAAATCAATTATAGTCTGTTTTCTATGTAAACACAAAAAGAATTCTCTCTCGTGTCTATGCAGTATGAATATGTTACTTGTTTATTTATGGGCATGTACCTGTAGCTTCAAATGATGTTGTAGAGCTCAACAGGTCAGACAGACGTGGAATTTATGTTTGTCTCTTCGTGTTTTAACTTCCAAACTTTTGATTTAGGTGATCTAGACTTCATTTGTCCCCATCCTTCAATATAAGCCGGACCGGATGAACAACAAGTTGCTGGGAGTTTGGCAATATACTTGACGTGTGATGTAAAAATTTCATTAAATTGAAACAAGAACGATGGGTAATGTCATAAAAGGATTCTTAGGTACCAACGGAAAACATCCCTTTGAAATACAGAGAGTCAGTTGACCATACGAAGAATCTATAGCAGAAAACAAGGCTCCCTCCGCAAAGAAAAACGCCATGAATTCATCTCGTGTGAGCGAAGTGTCATCCTTGTCAAACCCGTCTCTCATATAACTTTCTTCCATCTCCCTACTCTTTCTGAACAGTTTAATTACCCAAGGGAATATGGAAGCCGGAGGAGATGAAGGTCTTTCACTTTTCAGGTTCAACTCACCCCTTGTCCAGGTTAGCTTGATAGGTCTAGTCTGCTTTTGCTGCCCGGGAATGTTCAATGCTCTGGCTGGCATGGGAGGCGGTGGCCAGGTCAAAGCAACTGCAGCAAATAACGCCGACACTGCTCTCTATACTACCTTTTCCATTTTTGGAATCCTTGGTGGGGGCATCTATAACATATTTGGTCCCCGACTCACCCTCGGTGCTGGTTGCCCCACAACTTATGTACTTTATGCAGGCTCTTTCCTTTATTACAGTCGCTAACATGATCAGACTTTTGCCATTGTTGCTGGTGCTGTGCTTGGCATTGGAGCAGGCCTTCTTTGGGCTGGGCAAGGTGCCATCATGACATGTTATCCTTCTCCCGGCCGCAGGGGCATCTACATTTGGTCTATATTCAACACGGGTGGAGTCATTGGTGGTCTCATACCTTTCATCCTGAATTACCACCGCCTCAAGGGCGAAAGCGTCAATAACAAGACCTATATAGCCTTCATGTGTTTCATGGCTGCTGGTGCACTCATTTCATTTGCAATCCTGCATCCAAGTCGTGTAGTTAGGGACGACGGCACAAGTGCACCAACATTAAGTACTCGAATGTTTCCACCGAGGCTGTTGAGATATTTAAGCTCTTCCATAATTGGAAGATGCTTTTCATCGCTCCGGCTGCCTGGGCCAGCAACTTCTTCTATAGCTACCAGTTCAATAATGTAAATGCCTTGATGTTCAATTTGAGAACCAGAGGTTTGAACAATGTCTTCTACTGGGGTGCACAAATGTAGGGATCAGTTGTAATTGGATACGTGTTTGATTTCAATTTCAAGAGCCGAAGGACAAGGGGTTATGTTGGAATCGGAATTGTTGCTTTGCTTGGGACAGCAATTTGGGGTGGAGGCCTTGCCAATCAATTGAATTACTCTTATAATGACCCTCCTGATCGCTTGGACTTCGAAAAATCAGGAGGTGATTTTGCTGGACCATTTGTTTTATACTTCAACTATGGGTTGCTGGATGCCATGTTTCAAAGCATGGGATATTGGGTGATTGGCGCATTGGCTGACGATTCCGAGACCCTTAGCCGGTAATTTTCTTTGTTGTCTCTCATGATAGCATAATAAACCACTATCCCTTAGCATAAAAAAACTGACTGTCGTTAAATTGAATGAGCCTTCACGTGACTAACGAAATTACGTGCTTTGCAGGTACAGTGGCTTCTACAAGGGAGTGCAGAGTGCAGGGTCTGCAATAGCCTGGCAAGTTGACACACTGAAGGTTCCCTTGCTTTCTCAGTTGATAGTGAACTGGTCGCTTACCACACTAGGCTATCCGTTGCTGGCCCTGTTGGTTATGCTTGCAGTGAAGGATGATGAAAAACCTAATGAAGGAGCAGCAAATGGTTCTTCTCCTCCGTCGGCTCCTCCTGCTCCTGTGGATGATGGTTATGATAAGGCTGGCAAGTCTATTTCTAACTGAAGTTCACATATCCTCTTTGCCTTCTCAGTGTCGACATAACCTTCCAAAGTGAAACTGTTCCACTGGAATTTCTCTCTTTAGTGCATCGAGAGCAAATTCAAATTATTGGTTTAATTTTCTTTTACCAATAAAATTAATTATTGGTGGGTAGAAATCAAATTTTAAATTATCTAAATATGCACACTTGAGCTTTGCGTTGAGAATTAATTATTCTTACCACCTGCTCAGTGCTTAGCCCAGAATTAGAGAGGCAGCTAGGTACACCACTATACCTGAACCTCATTGTTTCAGAGTACGTAACCAGCCGTTGGTGGGAAGAAAAGATGAAGATTAACAAAGGTCATCTGACACCTAAAATCCCAATAAACGCCTAAATAATAACTTCGTGATCAAGCAGCCACGGCAAACATTTTGACCTCTCATGAATGGTCATCCTAATAATCAATTGGATTTGAAAAACAGAAGGCACGATAAGTTCAAGAACGGAAGCCAGGTTTAACATTAAAAAGGCAGCCAGATAAAGAAAAATAGAGAAGAATCAGAGAGGAGTTATTGTTTAAAATTTTACGAGGCATAGCCATGCAATTCAATTCTCTCTCTGTATCTAAGCAAAATTCCAGATGGATAAGCTAAAGCTGCTATAGTGTGATGGCATTAACAGGCCAATTTAAGATCAACATTATGGCAACATAGATACAGAGGATTTATATCACACTATAGCAGGGTAGGGACTGACATAGATACAGGCATCAAAAAGGGGTAAAAATAAAAAGGACTGACATTCTAGGCAATTTTGCATATGGCTCGACGACTTTTTTCAAAAGCTATGAGCTAAATCTCTTTTTCCAGTAGTCTCCATCTACAAAATGACTGATCAAACACAAAAGGGCGACAATTTCCCTCAACATTAATTTGTGCAAACATGATACCTGTTCTAGGAAGAAGAAAATGTTTTACTTCTGTTGTACTAAAGAAATTGGTATTCATCAATACTCTGTAATGTTTCAGGAATGGTTTGCTCTTCTATTCACATCAAACTGCAGCAATCCATTTGCAGACCCAAGCCAAAAATATATGCATTTCAGACCAATGATGTCAGTTATCTTCTCCATGTTCTCTCTTTTAAAAGTGAGCACATTGCTAATTCATTCGTCATCTTGCTCGTGTCCATTAACTTGATTTTCCTCATTGCCTCCTTCATCCCCTCTACCCCCATAATTCACCCATGGCAACATAGATTCAAACAAGACAGCCAATGCATTTCGATTCGCAACATCACGTCGAGCTGGGCCACCATCAAGTGGGAAGGCAATGTGTCCTCCATTTTGCTCAGCCTCCCTCATCCTTGGGTCAACCATGAAGTTTTGCAAGTTCTCAGGTGGAAGGGTAGGGACTATATCAGAGAAGTCTGACACCAACAGATGGCTGTACCTAAAAGAGAAGGAAATGTCAACTCAAACATGCACCATCAACATGATACCAATATTAAAACAAACTGTATCAAGTTATGCAACAACATCAAGTAGAGCAGCAATTGGATGCAAAGGATCTATCTCATTCCAGTACCAATAATCATTCTGCAGACCCTTAAATTGGCACAGAACCATAAACTTGATTCAGTCATCCAAGGGACACAAGTCATAATAACAATAAATACCATTATTTCTAGCGACAAAAAAACAATTAACAACAACAATAATTAGCGGATACAAATAGATGGTTAGAGCAAAATAGAGAAACAAGTCCATAATTCAAAACACTTACTCATTGTTCTCAGATGAAAAGGCCTCTTTTCTCACACAAGCCCAATCCTTGGCATCACAGCTACCATGTTCTAGAGTTTCAATCACTTGTAGAGCACTGTTACAAAGTAATTTTTGCAAGTCTGGAAGCCTCCATACGATATAACTTTTCTCTACATAGATATTAATCAGATGATCCAATGATGCAGACCCTGTTTTCTCTGATCGAAAAAATGCATGCTTTAGTATATTTGTCCACGCCTGATCTTTCAAAGGTACCTTGGCTACTAACTTTTTAACGACTGAAGGGTGAAGCATTAAAGCCTGCTTCATCAAATCAGCTGAATTAGACTTTGTACCACTAGCATTCGCATCTTTTGAGGATTCCTCTCGCTCAAGATAAAACCGACAAATGGCAAGAGAATATGAGAAATTTGGAAACAACCATAAAGAGTTATCACTTTTATAGTCTTCAGAAAACTGTTCCAACCATGCATACTCCTCTGCCCTCAAAGCAAAGTAATCAACACAGAACATGGCCCCCATTGGATCATCTAAATCCAACGAAAGCAAAAGTTTGCAAACCTCAAGGGCAGAACGATGACAACCACGCCTGTCCAAGTTTTTCATGTGAGTGAAAAGTGTTAGAAATAGTGGCTTATTGGTTTCGTGATTGTTCTTCAACTGGCAATTTGCCTGCAAGGGGGTGAATGTAGGATGCCATGCACATTCCAAGGCATATAAACTCTTCGCAATAGAATCAGCTGACATTTGATGCTCACCCACAAATTTAAAATAGTCTGCCATTGTTACAAGTGAATCTAGGTGATAAGGGTGGTATAATAGAATGCTTGCTATGCCATTCAGATCATGAATAGCTTTGGCAGCTTCGAATTCCCTCTGCGCTTGATCATAGGAAGATGAATGAACATACCTGCATAAATAAAACAACACAGAATCAGGACATGCATGAGCAATGAAAGCTCAAGACAAAAGAGCTATAGCAACTAATGACATATACAAGATAGGTGAGAAGAGAGAGAATAAATGAAGAAGGAACATCCTATTTAGAAATAAGTTCAAATGAAAAATGTTAGCTTTTTTTACATGTGAATTAAACCATCGATAACTTCACTGGTAGGCAGAGATGCAGTAATTCCTCAGCAAAAACACTAGAAAAATGTTTGCAAACCATGTAACTAACAAATATATAGAAAAGAACCATATTTAGCAGCCCATATAGAAATTTACTTCTCGAAGGCGCTGAAGGAGGCACTTGCGTCTTCTAACTGGCTTCTCTGATTGCTTATTCAGGACATGAAGCAAAGACCAATGGATAGAGGCAGTCAATCGATGGCCCTGCTCGCTCCCTCCCTTTGGTTGAGCTGGTAAACCCCCAACCGGTCGAGCTGCTTTCCTCTCCTTAGTTGGAGAGCCACCTCCATTCCTCTACCGTATCCATTGATGGGATTTCTTCTCGACTGGCGTATAACACACTTGGGCTAATCCACTACACGCTAATAATGGTCTTGTGGATTTCATCAGACATCTTGTGCAGAATAAAGTTGCTTTACACAGATTTCAGAATAAGTTCACGAACACAAATGATAATGCTCTGTCTGCAGACAGTCTGCAAAAGACAAGATGCTAGGGCTGCTTGCAACTAGACTGTCCCTTAAAGTGTCCTAGTGATTGTTGTACCTTTTCAAAGTCTCACCAGGTGGGTTAAGGACATAAGATCATCACTTCATCTCCTGTTATGACTTATGAACCCTCCCCGCCCCCATTACCAAAACATCCTTGAAAGACACCAAAAAATATATTTCTTGATAACCAATATAAACCCATGACAAAAATGAAAAATTCCAATGCGAATGCTACAGTTTACAAGCAAGTGTCCCACAGAGGCAAGCAAGAATATCGGATATACATTCAATAAGAGAGAATGAAGAAACTAACAGCAATGTTTTGACATCATAACATTAACGTATGCATAACCTGGGACAAAAAGCAGTAAAATGGAGAATTATCTCCAAATATATCTAGAAAGCAAGGATATTCTTTACCTAAAATGATGGTATCCATCTTTAGTTTCCAAAAACTCCATGGATAAAGATCCATCCCACCGAGGCCAATGCTCCGATGGAGAGACTAGAATAGTCTTTCTAGTATGATGGGCTCCACGTCTGCCCCCACGAACCTGTCTAGAACTGCTGGCTTGATTGCTTTTCTCAAATGATTTCACCACCTTAGAACCAAAAATTCTACGTAGCTCGTTCTCGGGATTCAAACATTTGGGATCCACTTGTAAGGCAGAAGGTGCACACTGTTTCACAATTTCTGCACAGGGTTTGGAAGTTTCTGGTTTGGTTTTGGTGGGGCCAGGTTGATGTCTTGAAGAATTAACATCCAAGGATAAACTATTTAATGCGTTCTCCAAAGGTTCTTCAACTTTATTTGTAATCGAAGACAAACTAGTCTTGCTTTTCTTTTTTTCTTTTTCTTTGGTTTCTGATTGGATGTTGAAATGGCACCAGCCATGCTTTTCATCCCAGACACTTCCTGTTTGTGAGTGTTTCCCACTATGGTTTGATCATCAATTTCAGGCTCATCCTCCTGCAGCTGAAATCAAGCATTAGCAACAGACAGTATATGGAAAGTGGATATTGCACACTTTCCTTGCACAACCACCAGTACTCCTTTTGATTCACGCAATTAGTTTTTTTTTAAGGAATTATACTTGAGAATGATAGTAAGATGAGGAACAATAATCAAGCCAACAATTACGTAAACAAATATGCCAGCCAAACTTGCAAATACACTGTTAGCATATCTTCTTCTGCAATATTAAATTTTCTTCAAAATTTCACATACATGCATCAATTTCCTTAATATCAAACCAAGTCTTCCCACTACGGAGCAATTGGCCAGTGAACAAAAGCACGAGGTAGGCAGTATAACATTTCAGATAAAAAGATCAGTTGAAAAAGGACAGTAAAGGATGCTATGAAAACTGAACAAAGTGCTTAAGAAGACCAAGTCATATTCCTTCATAACGAGGCAAAAATACATAATTCCAGGCAACTGCATGAAAACCGAACCAAATTTAACGAATGCTACAAAAACTGAATTTATTGTACAGGATGCTATGAAAACTGGATTTAATGTAAAGGATGCTATGCTAACTAAACCTATTGCAAAAGAACTGATCAAATTCATTGCATATTCTTTAATGAAAAAGCAAGAGCATATTTTTTCAGGTTTTCTGCTAGCTACACGGTTTATGGGTTTATCAAAACGCAGTGCCTCTGGGTGTTGCATTACTACTGTTTATGTTTTAAAATCTCAAAAAAACACTCTCAATTTCATGAGACTGATCATAATTTTTCAAAGGGACAATTTTTACACAATAATACATCATATGAAGGCATTGGAAGCTACGATGAAACTTAAAAGGGAAAACTCTATGCACACTGGCATACATATTAGGGCCCTTTTCCAAACCCTGAATATCCATTATTTAAGACATCATAAGCAACCTAAAAACAAGGAAATAAACAACAAAGTAATAACAATAGTCATGACATAATAGGTAACTGCTGGTTTTGATCAGTTAAAATTGGTGTATAATAGGAGCGAGGATTGAGAAATAAAACCTGATCAACGTCATCATCATTGAGAAGGTCAAATGGGTTTTTTGCAGGGCGAGTTCCCGAATCAGGAGATTCAGCTTCTTCTTCTAAAGCCTCTTCATGATGCTGTTGCTGTTGCAGTTCTTGTTCTTTCAAGACTTTCTTCAGTAACCTAGCTGACATTCTTTCTACTTATTTTTGCCTCGCTAAAATATCAGAGAGTTTGATTGAATTCCCGATTTTCAAACCTGAAAGAGCTACTGGAAAACAATAGGGATTGGGATTGGAATTGCTCTCCTCCTTGAGGCGTGATATTGGCGGTGGAGACGACAATATTGCTTCATTAGGAGTATCTGGGTCTTTGCCTAAAAAGGACCGTTGGTTTTAGGCTTTAGCCGTCAAGCACCCTTCTCTTGTTCTGTTTGGGCCTATTGTCGACCTGGACTCTCCTTTTTATTTCACTAACCAGTAGCATCAGGCCCGTGTGTGGTGGAGCTTGTAAAAATTTTATGAATATGAAAATAAATATTTGTTGAACAACAATTATTTTTTATTTCCTCCCTCCTTGACTTGAATAGCATTTAATTAATTTTTATTTTTATTTTATATAAATAAAAAATATTTTAATTTAACTAAAAAAATTTGATAAACCCATAGAAAATAATAGAATTATTTTGAAATTCAAATAAGAAATAATAACCATATGCATCAGCAAAAGAAAATAATTACCATAAATTTAACGTTCATAAGGTTGAATGAAAGAAAGTAGTATGATTCATTGTATGTGAAGTTCATTAGGATTGGGCCTTCCGTGGACCATTCTCTCTTGATTTTTTTCTTTACAGATAAAAACGGTTTTATTTTTATTTTTTTTATCATTTTACGAGCATCTAGCCTGCCTATTGCATTATTTTTAATAATAATAAAATTTTACTGAATATGTGTTTTTAAACCATTGATATTTGCTTTTTTTAATTTATCTTTCCAAATAATTTGCTTGGAGAGAAATTTTAAAATACTCTCCAAGTAATAAATATACGCACAATAATTATTCTATAGGTTTTTCTAAAAAAAAGATAGATATAAAAAAATAAAAAAAATCACATTCAAACTTATCAAAAGTGATAAAAATATTTTCATCTCGGCTTAATTTTTTTAATTTCTCTCTTCTTTTTATATCTATCTTTTTTTTATGCAATAAATATTAATAGTTATTCTACCGTAAATATAAATTGTTTTCGATATTACAATTTTTATTTTTCGTTTGGATAAATCTTCTACTATTTTTTTCTTTTGTTATCAAAAAATGTACTCTTCAACTATTTTTTTATGATGATTTTTATTTCATAATTATATATTATAATACAACAAAATTACTCTATTTCATTTTCATGGTTAAATTTGTATATTAATAAAGATTTGGATGTAACTATTTATAATAAATGTTTAATTTAATATATTTGAGTTAAATATTGTATTTAACATTCATCAATACACACGCATGCCAAAAAAAACACTAGTTTTCTATGAAAAAACATGCGAGCATCACTCATCTCTGGTAAATCATTTTTTCCTTATAAATAAAAAATTTTCTATGCATAAAATAGAAGAATAGAGAGAACTCGTTGGTGCATCATTAACTAGGGCGGTGCATCTTATACCTTGAGTCCAACACGAAGACAAGTAGCGCTTCAAATCCAAAGTAACGGGGAAAAAACAAAAAGATTTGGCTTCGGCTTGATAAGGTAATCCATTACAGTGCACTATACAAAGCGAAGCCCAATACCTCTCTCTATCTCTCTTTCTCTTCTCCTCCCTTCTTTTCCGCCTCTGCGCAGTTTACGGACACAATCAAGAGGTCAGTAACTATAATATTCTCACTTTCTCTACCAGGCTCGCAATTCATTTGTTTTGACTCGCATTTCTATTTATTAGTAATCTCTAGGGTTTAGGGTTTATATCACATACTTGTTTTCTTTTTCTGTTCTTTAGTTGCTACCGTTGGCAATACTTTCACTTTTAATTGGGTTTCGTGTTTCTTTTTTAGGCATTAATGGGGTCTCTACTACGTGATTGGCAAGGGTTCCAGCAATTCCCTACCACTACACAATCCAAACTGGTTGAATTGTTTGGCAAATTAAAGGAAGAGGTTACAATTTCTATTTTTTTTAAATTCAAATTATTGTTCAAAATCTTCATTGATTGTTTCAGTTTTCGTAATTATTTATTGTCTTGGACTATTTGTAATTGTAGGGTGTTAATAAAATGACCATACTTGTTATGGGAAAAGGTGGAGTTGGGAAATCTTCCACAGTTAATTCTCTTCTCGGAGAGCGAGTGGTTAATGTTAGCTCCTTCCAGGTAGCCAATTTCCTGTGAATTTTTGGGCCAATGGCTGGTAGCGGTCTTTGCATGCTCTATATATAAATATACTGTTGATAATAACAATGCTTCCATTACAGTCAGAGGGTTTCAGACCAGTTATGGTTTCACGTGACCGGGCTGGATTCACGTTAAACATCATTGACACTCCGGGCCTTGTGGAAGGTGGTTATGTCAGTTACCAAGCTCTGGAGTTGATTAAACGGTCAGTACTACTAGAATGTCATGTTTTGAGTTCACTTGGATTCCTACCAAATCATTACCTATGTGGTTCTTTGTTTTAACATTCCTGGATTAAAGATGTGCTGACCATAAATTGATTTGACTTTGGGTGTTGATGTGTCGCTTATGTAGGTTTCTTTTGAATAAGACTATAAATGTTTTGCTCTATGTTGACCGCTTGGATGCATATAGAGTGGATGACTTGGATAAGCAGATTATTAGTGCCATATCTGATAGTTTTGGAAAAGAAATATGGAACAAAAGTTTGCTTGTCCTCACTCATGCTCAGCTCTGCCCACCAGATGGTATCAGTTATGATGTCTTTTGTGCTCGAAGATCAGAGGCTGTCTTGAAGACCATTCGCATGGGAGCGCGGATTAGGAAAAGAGACTTTGAGGTACACTCTCTGTTCTCAACATGTCCATAAACCCATTTCTCTTGGTTTTTATTTTTTTTATTTTTTATATTTAAAATACAACGGGCAACAGCTTCTGATTGGCATTCTGAATATGCAACAATATGCCGACTTGTTTCCAAATGATAACTGCATAATTTGCTGCATATTCATGTTGATAATCTGTTCCAAAATGCAACTAGTGGAGAGAGTTGGTGTGCCCCCCCCCCCTCTCAATACACACTATTCCTCCTAAAATAAATACTTCCCGTCTCCCAGAGACCCATACACATGTATTCTTGGGTGCACATTGGACCATCTTATGCTATTAAAAATGCTATAGATGGAGTCACCAACTCATTTTCTTTCTCCTTCATTTCCTTTCAACATGGAAAAAAATGACATGCAGTGTGATTAATTGTTGGCTGCTGGGTAAGTTGGAGATCTTATAACCTTGTAAGAAACTTGAGGTTCATGATGCCGTGGTTCAAGAGGTGCTACTTCTTGCATTTGTTAGAAAATTGATGGAGAAGCTTACCTTCATTTTTCCATCCACTGAGATTCTAAAAAATTATACCATCGGTCTTGCAACTTTCTTCCATTCAAATGTGCAAGTTTGGTTGTTGGCAAATGAAAAGGAATGCTAAAGCTGGAGATTTGTTGTTTTGCTTCAGCCAATTCCTTCTTTTTCCTTCATTGTCAATTAGTTACCACTTCTAGCAACATACACAGCATCAAATATGGTTCAGATACTTTAAATGAAAATTTTTACCTGAGGAATAAACAAAATGGTAAAATAATCTTTTTAGTTATTGAGTATGTTTCCGAAGGTTCTCTTCCATTTTCATTTCTTGTTAATATCCAACACATGAATTGCTTAAAAAATAATTTCAAATTCTTTTTCTTCAACCATGACGTCCTTGTTCATTCTGGATGCTGAGGATTCCCCTGGTAGTTAAAGCTGGTACAAATTATGGAGGACTGAATGGGTAATTAGAGAAAGGAGGTTGTTAAATGTTGATGCTGGTGCTCTTGATCATTGGTGTTAAAGGAAAGGAGATGATACTTTATCTTAAGCAGTATTCAACCTTATATCCTGTTGAACAAAGTTGCAAGTGAGTATGTATAAGTGGTCTCATGATATGATTTAGCAAGAACATTTCTACTTCTGATGGGGGGAAGATAGAATCCAGGAAGCTAGAGTATTAGGGATATACGCTTCCTAAGTATGGCCTACTTGAGGGTATAAAACATGTTTTTTTCTTTTGCCACCAATTTACTTGAAGTAAGGTAAGCTTTTTGGTAGGCTGGGTATTGTCAGATGGGCTTCCTTGATATATATCTGATGAGAGTATTATACTGCTCCCCAATCTCGTTAAAGTAGGACCCATGAGTAGTTATCATAGTGGGTCCACCTTTCATGTGAGTGAGGTAGCACTACAACAGGAGTATCTAATAATTTCTCATATCCGATTACTTGGATGTCTTAGGATGTCTTATGCTGGTAAACAAGTCGATTTAATTTAGTAGCGTGAGGAAATCATGGAGAGTTCAGAATATATTTTATCTGGTGCTTTAAAGCAAAGGAAGAGGTGAGGTTCCTAGGGAAATTGAGAGCCTCAAATGAATATCAAGTTCAAGAGTGGTGGGAAGAGAGTGGCATGATGGTGGCTTACGTGATGCAGTTAATTTGCGGTTTCCCCCTTTGTGTCTGTATTGTCATTGTGGAAGTCAGTTGGAGCTCTTAGTTAAAACTTGTTGACAGAAGTCTTCTTTTGTTTCTCGATGGTGAAGTAAGACCTAGCTCATGAACTTATTATCCTAGGTCGGAACAAGCTGATAGAATCCCCTTTTTTTGACCCTGTGTCCCTCCCACGCAGCGACATGGTTATGCCATTTTGGGATTTGCTGTAACGGAAGCAATCATCCATTGCTTTGGCCACAAGAAAAGGTAAAGCATGATAGTGCAGTCTGAGAGCACTTGCCAATCATCCCAGTTCCTTGTATCTCATGAGCCAAGGCATGCCATGAAACTTCAACTTTATGCCCAAACCAATTCTAGACTTTCCTTTTTTCTTTGTCCAGCTTTGACTTCTTATAATTTCATCCCAATCGTCTATGGAGTTCCTCTGCATCCTTAAAAAGTAATGCTTTGAAATTATTATCATGAGATATCCCAAGGGTGAAAAGTTTTATTGTTATTGGTTTGCATAGCATTATCTGTTGAACTGTCAAAATATTCTCAAGTTTGAAACATGGCACTTCAGAAGTTACGTTGGAGTTTGGGCAATATTACATTGCACCATTTCTAGTGCCTTATGCTTGCTTAAAGATTTGTATTGGAAAGGAAAAATGTGATTTGTATAATATTTACTTAAAAAAAAAAAACAATCTGATTAGAAAATTAGGTGCACTGGAGTAATTTCTCACCTTTATTCATGCCAATTGATGGACAGAATATTAGTGTGCTTTGTTTCGGTAATCAATCATTCCACTTGCTTTTGATGCTTCTAGGATTCTGCTATTCCAGTTGCTTTGGTCGAGAACAGTGGGAGATGCAACAAAAATGATCATGATGAAAAGGTTTACTCTTTATGCTCTGAATTTGCGATAATTTATTCATTTATCCAAAACGTTTGCTGCAAATTCTTATAACTTTGAGTTGCAGATTCTTCCGAATGGGGATGCTTGGATTCCGAGCCTGGTAAAAGAGATCATTGGGGTTGCAACAAATGGGAAGAAAGCTCTTCTAGTGGACGAGAAGTTGGTTACTGGGTCAGAGTCTAATGACAGGGGAAAGATATTTATTCCTCTTATCTTGGGGATTCAGGTAAAAACTTCTTGGGTTACCTAACTCGAGTATTCTATTTGTGGTAGAACTGGTGCTTATGATGAATGTTATTCACTGCTGTTTTTTCATGTTGCAGTGGCTTCTTGTGAAATGGATTCAGCGAGAAATAAAAAAAGATATTTTGAAAGGGGGCAAGTATTCTTGAGTACTGTTAGGTTGCATTCAAGTCAATTGCAAGCTCTTATGTGGCTCTTAGATGGCCTCTTCTTCCTTCTTTCTCCACCTTTTTCTATTCATTTCCTTTTATGCTCTCGCATCTTCACCTTTTCTGAATATCTAGTCTATCTGTACCTGTGTGTTTGTGTTTTGAGTTTTTTGTTTAGGGACAGAATATTAGTGAACGGAGGCTCTTGTTCTTCAATTAAGTGTCCTTTTCCAGTTTTATGTATTAGTTTTCCTTTCCCCACATTTTTATATGACTTTCGTTTATGAATTTTTCCATTTAATTTGGTTCGTATTAGTACTTCAAAATTTCTCTCTATCCTTTATACGTGTAGATGATAGATATTTAGCTGTTAGCGTGATATTTGGGTGCCCTTTCTGTGCAAGTAGAAGTGCTGATGTTATTGCGACTCAAATAGACATCTTTCTTTATCCTTTTGCTCATTTTGATTCCTTGCAGCGGTAGTTTTGTGACCAAAAACGAGTTAGCATAATCTGATCTCTCAGATGCTAGAGGAATTTGATTTCGCCGACCTATGCAAGCTAAGGCTAAAACTACCTCTTTAAAATGTGGTCCCTGTGGTTTGCTTTAAGTTTCATTAAAATGTATAGAGCAATATCCATTGGGTGTGAGTTTGTGATTATGGTTACTTCACTCCTGGCGTGGCTTCTAACAGTTAAAGATGTTGGCTATCTTTCTGCGGAGATTGCGGGAATTTGCAAGAACTGCGGGAGGGAGGAGGAACCAAAGGACTGGAGGTGGGGGACCAGAGCAGGGAAGGTTTTTATCCTCTGGGTGCCATCATTAAAGCATACCTCATAGCCTGTTAACATCATTAAAGACACCATAACAATAGTAAACATCTCATAATTATATATATATCATGTATCGCATGAATTCGCATTGCACGCCTCACAATCATTGCAAGGTTCTCAATCAGCCAAAAACTAGTCAAAATATATACTCCCTAGTTACCCTTTTTGGATTCTCACCTTTGCTAAAGGTCTGATTGTGTTGCATTTCGGTGTGCTTGATGCCTCCTAGCAATCGGTGATTTGGTGTCTAGCGTGCCGGAAGGGCGACATGCGCAGCTGTCTTGTGGTGGTCAATTTTTGTGGTTGGATTAGCTGGGACTTTTATTATGATGATACGGTTCACGGGCAATGCCAAGCTTGAAAGGCCGAGCATGTAATGTACATTCTGGATTCTGGATCATGCAGTGGACAATCTGCACCATTACATGATCCTCTGAATCAGATCTTCTCCCAAAAAGAAGAGCAGCATCGTTACCCTTTTCTTGACATGGGAACAAATCTAATTGTCTCATGCCCTAACCTAAGCCATATCTTTAAATAAAGATCATTATATTATATAGTGACAGTTATGTAATAATTTTGAAATATATGATTATTATTATTTTAGTTATTATAATAAGTTACGATTCACGATGATGATTGAGATATTTTTTTCAATCATTCGCGATTTAAAATTATCTTTTACGCATAGTAAATAATGAAATACACTCTCTCTCTCTCTTAGAAAAAAAAAAAATCCAAAATGGCACTATGCAAGTGAGAATTACACAATCTTTACTATTCCAACTTCCGTGCCTCCCATTTGGCGGGTAAAATTGGAAGGCACTCCTAATCGGAGATAACTAACCAATTTATGGTGTAGAACTACTTTCTCTGATCACTCGGTACAATTATTGGCTTAAGTCGAAACTTAAATTAATTTCATCGTTAAATTAAAAATTTGCATCACTTTTATGTTGAAAAATTAGGGCAAAGAGAATCTACTAAAGACTAAATATTTATCATCTAACGCATCCAATTAGCCACAGGCGTTTGACAGAAAGTTGGGAATAATCATGATTAACAGCCACTAGTGCATGATTGAGTGTGGGAAACCACAGCCATCACCATGCATAAAAGAAAATCAAATCTAGTATCTTAATAGGAAAAATAATCTCAAAAACATCATGCCCTGCCATGCGAGCACTTCTCCTTTTGGAACCTTTTGAAACAAATTAGCTATAAATCTAGGTCCCCTGTGTTAACCTAGGTAGGTATCCAGAGCAAAGCAAAACCGATCAGAAACGAACATAATGGGCACTGCTATTAATTTGAAGCGCGCAATTGTTTCTGTCTTGGTTCCACTTCCTTCAATTCTCTTCTATCTCTACTTCATCAACCATTACAAAACAAGTACTAGTGATGGCACTACAGTCTCTCCTTTCTGGTCATGGTGCGTCGACCACCCTCTTCTTTTGGTCAACGCCCTCTTCTTCTTCAATGTCAATGTCCTCTTCTGGCTCATTAGTCAAATCCAAAAGAGCCACTGGGTATGTTACTACAGTATTAGTATTTCATTTTTCAATCAAAGTCTGTTTCTTTTTGTTTTCTTGGATTCGTTATTGAATTTTGTTTTGGGGATGCTGCAGATGATAGATTTGTATTGGACTGTGATACCAATGTTGCTTGCTTATTGCTATGCAACATACCCTTCGGCCCAATATAATATGTGGAGGTCGAGAATTGTAATAGCGTTGGCATGGGTGTGGAGTTTGAGGCTTACCCATAACTACTTTAGGCGGGAAAAGTGGCAATGGGGTGTCAGAGAGGATTGGAGGTTCACTGAGATGCGTGGCCAGTATGGCAAACATTGGTGGTGGATTTCCTTCTTTTCTGTCTATCTTTCTCAGCAGGTAAAGAATTATTGTATCTTTGCTCATTTTTATTGGTAAGTTGGATTTTAGTTGAGGATAATCAGCTGAATTTGAATTTGTTTGTAACTGCTTGACGAATTGCCACGGTGAGGTTTCACTAGCTGGAAGATGTCCAAAGTATTTTGGTTGTACCCTTTATGTTGAGGTCTTGTGTGTTTAGTTTGCTATGAATTGGTGCAGAAAGTTGAAATTTCTTAATCTGTAAGCTTTATAGGTGGTGATTCTTTTTCTTGTTGTGTGGACTATAATATTGCAGGTGTTTCTGATTGGAATATGTCTCCCTTTGTACATTGTTCACTCAGTTGATCAGCCATTGGTTGTCTGGGATTTTGTTGCTGTTGCTGTATGCTTGTGTGGAATTGTGATTGCATACTTTGCTGATACGCAACTTCATGAATTTGTGACAAGAAACGAGAAATTAAAAGAGTTTGGAAAACCAATGGCGCCAAATCTTGATAGGGGCTTGTGGGGTTATTCACGGCATCCAAATTATTTTGGGGAGCAGTTGTGGTGGTGGGGACTGGTGGTATTTGCATGGAACCTGGGACATGGATGGACTTTCGTAGGGGCCCTCGTTAATAGTATGTGCTTAGCATATGTTACTGTACTTGTTGAACGGCGGATGCTGAAACAGGAGTACAGGGCTGAAGCATACAGGCTGTATCAGAAGACAACTTCAGTGTGGATCCCTTGGTTCAGGTCATCTGCTTTTGCTAGAAAAGATAAGAACACTTGAACTGATATATGTCCCGGTGCCCAACTTCTGTAGTTCTTCTTTATCTGCATTATTAGTATAATCTGTTGTTCTTAAGCAATTGTTGCTGTTGATTTCAAATTGTCTGTGTGTAGCTAATAGATCCCTGTCTAAAAATTGTTGCATTTTCTATGAAGTTCGCTTTATCATCTGAAATTTTGAGCGTATACTGAATGTTGAGTTCTGGATTTCCCATGGATCTACCCGTTTGTTTTTAGGTCTGGTTGATTTGATGTTTAAAAGAGAGAGAGAGAGAGATTCATAAGGTTCCTTCCAACGAAAAAATTAACACAGTACAATTTTGTTATCTGGCATGAATGGTGAAGCAAAATTTGGCTGCAATATCATTTTAGCTCTTAGATATATTGGGTAGAAATCTAGGTTTATTATAGTGACGTCTCAACTGAAAATGAGTACCTGGCCTGCTGGTTTTTTTTTTTTTTTTTTTTGTCCTCCTGAGGATTGTGCTGGTGCAGATCTCTGCATATGCTACTGTCACATCTGAGCTGTTGAAGTTTGTTAACAATGCCTAAAGTGCCTGGTGTCTTCACTTGTTGGATGTTCTTCTGGCATTGTTGGGAAGCTTGGCCATCAGGTGTTTTGGGGTTCTTTTGTTAGGTCGGGAAACACTTCGTAACAAAAATAATAAGAAAAAGTGAGCAGATCACTCTCTATAGAGCTATTAGGAAGAATGCCATTGCTTGCCAGTATGAGCAAGCATTCCTCACGGAAGGGAAGAAGAAGAAAGTAGAGCTAACATGGAATGACATATTGTTAGCTCCCTGTGCATTTAAGTTTACTGGTCTTTAGCAAGGCCAGAGGAGCTGCTTGCTCCTCAAAAACCCCCCAATGAAGCCACTGGCTCTGTTCCAGCAACCAGAAATACCAAGTAGCTATTCCATTAGCATTCTATAAAAATCTTTATGCTTCTATAGCTTAAGGGCACTGTCCTTAAAGATTAAATGACAGGAAACAGCAAAGTTTCCGGATGATTTTTGTGGATGTGGTTTTGCAGGTCACGTGTTAACAATAGTAAAAATATTATTTTACAACATGAAATGGTTTATCCTTTGAATCCTGGGACGTGGGGATGCAGCTACAATGAACTTTATAGGATTAACGGAAAAGGTGATGATTGGATGCCATTTAGTTGATAGTATGAAAAGCTTTTTTTCATGAACCTGTCAACAAGAGAAGGGAGAGTGGAGGCTCATTTAGTGGGTATTAAATTAAGGGTTTCCAAAGAAATATGATATAAAATAGAAGGCCAGAAAAAAAAAAATTAAACAATGACAATGAACAGATCACATTCTATGTAAAAGGGAATGTTTAATAGATCCACTCAAGAATTTGTTTCAATGGACTAGAATTTTGTTATAGTGGGAAGCCTTGGGGATTGGATGATTCAGTTAGCTTGTTGGCGCTTAACCTTGTTGAAGTTCTTGTTTCCACAAATTTGCTGGAAGAAATGACTGAACAGAAAGTATATGGTTTCGGCATAAAGATATAACGACTTTGGATCTATGGTCATGAAGGTATGGATAAGGAATTATTATTTATGAAGAGGTTATTGCTCTTGTCCTGCATATTCTGTTTTTCGAGTACTACAGGTTGAAGAAATGTCATTTCCTTCTAGAGCCTTCATGATCTGTTTTGCTATATTAGTCTAACATGTCATTACTCGTGGAAAGTAGCTTTCCGACCTTTCAAACCAGGTGCTGTTGCTCTAAGTGTAGTCTGTACTGGGTGTGACACGCTTTATTATTCTACATATCCTTGTACTAATTCTGACCTGAGTTTGAATGCCTTTGGGGCGATGATGGAGTTCTTGAGCTGTGTCAAACCCTGCAAAAATTGCGGTCCACTCGATTAAAACCCGTGAACCTACCATGTACCTCATTAATAAAACTAATGTGCAACATCATAAAACAAGGGGACAGAGGTAACAAAATCCTAGCTGGTGATGGTCCTGATGGATGAAGCTCAAATTTCCTATAATGCCGGAAAGCGAGGGCGTGTGATGGACTGCTGGCTCAAGTTTGAACCAATGGGCCCTTTTCTATATCTTGTGCGGGATTCTAGCTGTAAGTTCTTTCTTTGAAGTCTGATCATCACCTAATTTAAAGAAAAACAGATACTGCTTCACAGAATGGTGAGTTCCTTAAAAAAATAAATTTCTGTAGCGAAACTGACAGGATTGTTCTACTTCACCATAGAAATGGTGGCTATCCTTACATTAAGATATCATATTCTTCTACATTTTATGCGGTAAAAAATTCTCACTGAAAGAGCAAAGGAATGCTCCTAAGTAGTCTTCAGTTCTGGATAATTCCCAGTAACAGGACAAGGTTTGAACAATTGAAAAGAGGGTATAATTTGATTGCTGTATTTGTAGTTGTCATCTGAGTGAAACTATTTTGGATAGGTCTGATCGTGTGAGTTGAAGGTTCACCAATTCTAGCAGCCCCAAGTGTAGTTGTCAACGCAGCGGATTTTGGTCGAGATCTCCCCATCCAAGCTGTATATTATGGCTGTATCGATGACTTGTGATTTTCTTTTATTTTCATTTGTTGGACTTTGAAATAGATCCGTGATTAAGCACGGGCATAGAAAGATCAGTTGCCATAAATAAATAAAATATCAAGCTATCATGAAATTCTCAATGTTGCCCTTTTGTATAGGTTTTTTCGGTCCAATAACAGGCATAATGAATCCTAAGCTACATTACACAAGAGCATCAGAATTTGAAGCATGTACATAAAATTATATTTGAAGGATGAAAATTTTCATAAAGCAATGGTAAAACGTGGACTTGAAGTTAAAAAAAAAAAAAAAAAAAAAAAAAAGGGGAAAATCACATTCGTTTGTCGAAAAATCTGGAGCACAAGCGTCCCGAGACATAATTAATGTCAGAACTTCAAATTTAAACAAATATACAAATGGGTAGACGTGCATACTTAGCCTAATGGTGGTGTTATTTGTGTCCTGATGAGACAAAAATAAAAAGACTAATCGGTTAAATATTACTTTGTATTATCTTGAATGGTATTACAATTTTAATTTTTTAATTCGAGTATTATGATTATTCTTCAGTTTATAATCAACTCGGCCGATTTCTTTGAATAATATTCAGACGCCCGTAATAGACACGTAATGGTGAAATGATAAAAAAATCCGAAAAATTCCTAACTTTTTTTTTTTTTGTCTCCATCCACCATCTCTTCTCTTTCTCTCCTTCTTTGCAAAAACCCACCACCAACATATACACAATGTTTCTAGGATCGAGAAACAAATGATTCAAAAAGAATCCTCAAACCAATAAAATATCAATAGCTAGCATTCTTTTTTTCCCATTATCACCATCCTATATTATCACCCTTCTTCATTTCTAAAATCTCAAAAACAGCAAGATTGGAACCACCATCCTCCACTATCACTCTCTTGATGCAGTAGGTTCCACTCTCAATCTAGAGTTCTTTTCTTCGAAGAGAAAGGAAAGATCGAGAATAGTCGAGTACAAGAGGGTGAGATTCAAAAATTAAATTCTTGCATGGTCTGTTTCCTTGAAACTAAAACAAATGGGTTTGATGAGGCGAAAGTTTAAAAAGTCGTGGAATAGCAGCGACAATCAAAGTCCACCCAAATCCGCTTATACCGTGTCGATGCCCTCACACTTTAAAAAACTTCGAAATTACAAAGAGCACATGTAGACAAGTAATTTGACTGCATCAAGTTGTTAGACAAAAAAAAACAAGGTTCACTTTTTATTTATTTATTTATTAAACCATGTTAGCATCACGTGGGAAAATATATCCGAAATTTGAACGACGAGATTGACCGACTTGATTATAATAAAAAAATAATTATAATATTCAAATTGAAAAAATTAAAATTAGGATACTAGTCAATATTTGACAGATAATAACCAATTATCCAAATAAAAAATAAATTAGTGTGTGAGTGGCGGTGATATGGGCATATGACAATACAACTAAAAGTTGAAGGACGATGTTGTGAAAATTGGAACATAGATGATGAAATTGAAACCATATATTGCATTATTGTATAGATAGGCAGAAGGCATAAATGTAGTAATAATATCTTCCCAGATTGGTTATAGCATTGCTTTCAGCAATTAATGAGAAACCGTGACAAAATGTGCCGACAGAAAGATTCCACAGAGATTCGCTTCGCAACATTTGTTTCTCAGTATCAATCAGCAAACCCTGTTCTAATGTAACCACATTTGTTTTCTTGAAAAAAATAAAAATAAAAATCTTTTTAGGACTAGTCAGACAAGGAAAGGAATCTCCTTTTGGGCACCGTTAAATATTAATCTGTCATTCTTAAGAGGGTGATTAGTATGTGAAACCTTTGTTTGTCTTGATTCTAATTTTGACTTGCACACTTTAGCTCTAGGCTATAACCCAAACTATGCTCACGCTATATTTAACAGTAAGAAAAGGCGAAAGAGCATCGAGTAGATGACCACGATGGCGAAGAAGAACATGCCGAGTCTTTCTCTATCTCACTTTGTTGGGGTATTTGTTTTTCTCTCTGCTTCTTTGTTTCAAAATCTGTATTGGGTGTGAAACATGAGCTGCGTTTTGGTAAAAATGGAGAGTTCAAGATACTGCAAGTGGCAGATATGCACTTTGCAGATGGCAAGACCACGTCTTGCCTTGATGTGTTCCCAGATCAGATGCCTACTTGCTCTGACCTCAACACTACTGCCTTTGTTGAGCGCATGATTAAAGCGGAGAAGCCCGATTTTATTGTTTTCACTGGTACTCTTCCTCCTGCTCTCGTTAACTTTTTTTTTCCCTATCTAATTCCTAATTTATGTTATTGTTTCTGATTTTTCTTTCTTCGGGTGTCTATATGTGATAAATTTGGATGTACCAAACAAAACCCAGATGTTTATTTGTTTACCTTAGCAAGTTTCCTAATCTGGTAACAGTTGGCATTTAGTGGCTAAGCTTTAACAGTTCCTTTCCCAATCTAAGCTGATGGAAGTATTATTTGCACTGTGGGCAATAGGGGATAATATCTACGGCTTTGATGCTAAGGATGCTGCAAAATCACTGAATGCTGCATTTCAGCCTGCAATTGCATCAAACATCCCATGGGCTGCTGTTTTGGGGAACCATGATCAAGAATCTACTTTGTCAAGGGAGGGGGTCATGAAACATATTGTTGGCCTTAAGAATACTCTGTCTCAAGTCAATCCTGCGGATGCACATATTATTGATGGTTTTGGGAACTATAACCTGGAGATTGGAGGAGTTAAAAGTTCACGCTTTGAAAATAAATCAGCTCTTAATCTTTATTTTCTTGATAGTGGAGACTATTCCACTGTTCCGGCAATCCCTGGCTATGGTTGGATCAAGCCCTCTCAGCAGCTTTGGTTCCAGCGCACTTCTGCAAAGCTTCGGGTATTAACCACCGCTAGTTTATATGGTCGAATTAATTAGTAGGTCACCATATGAGCTACTTTTATCATTTATCGGTAAAAAGGATCACTAATTTGTCTACACAAAATAAGAAAACACGTTACGTAGATAGTTTAACTTGTAATAGGTGCAATAGCTTAATTGTGATCTGTTTGATAGCCATTTTTCCCTTTTCACTTCAGACAGCATACATGAGACAGCCAGGAGCTCAGAAAGGATCTGCACCTGGGCTGGTGTACTTTCACATCCCATTGCCTGAATTTGTAAGTTTCGATTCATCGAACTTCACAGGGATGAGACAAGAAGGCATTAGCTCGGCTTCTGTGAACTCGGGCTTCTTTACAACCATGGTAGAAGCTGGGGATGCGAAAGCTGTTTTCACAGGACATGATCATCTCAATGACTTTTGTGGCGAGCTTACTGGTATAAAACTTTGTTATGCTGGAGGTTTTGGATACCATGCCTATGGGAAGGCAGGATGGTCAAGGAGGGCAAGGGTGGTGGTAGCATCTTTGGAAAAGACAGAGAAAGGAGGTTGGGGAGCTGTCAAATCTATCAAAACATGGAAGCGCCTTGATGATGAACACCTTACTGCTATAGATGGTCAGGTCCTTTGGAGTAAGAAAAGTGCAGGCAAGTTCTTGATGAATAACCCTTAATTAGTCATTTGTACATGCTTTGAACTCTAATGCACATACTATGGATAGTGTCTCTTAAGGACATCCATATGCAGCATGTCACCAAGAACTATTAGGACATGCAAGGGCCTTGTGCTTTCTTGCATGTGTTCTGGAAAAGAATTGAAACCAATTTAATTCTTAAGATCAATGACTAGACCTGCTGGCTAATACTAATTTGCGTTCAACTTTTTATCAAAAAGGTCTTCACTAACTTACCTGTTTTCAATTGACATTAAGTGTCATCTTCTCATCCTTCAATTGCCGTATTGCACTGTGGACTGTGGAGTCAATTGCCATTACCATGATCTACATGCTCATCAGTATAGAAAATTTAGCATAGTTAAACATTCATGACCATAATCTGCTTGCTCATCAATATAGAAAATTTAGCATATAAAAGGATATAGTGAAGCCCATTGAAAGTTCAGGCTGCAATTACTTGTTTGCATTACCTAATCCATTTCCTGCAACAACTCGTATGATTGTTGGAACCTTTGTCTACTAATATGAATTAAGACCATATTATTCTTCGTAGTCTTTCTTTTGCTACAGATGTTTCGTAGTTTAGAAACAAAGTAGATAAAACGTAGGAAATGCCTATGCTGCTAGGTTGCTCTTCAAAATGAAAACATATATCCCTGTAACAAGGTTTCTTTGCTCTATCTCATTTGTTACCAGAGTGAGACATCTTTTCACAAGTTATGGAACTTCCTTTCTAGGTCATTGCATCAGTTGCTGTGTGTTTCTCAGGCACCAGTAACTGCTGCAAATGTTCTTGTTGGATAGGAGGTCGTGCGTTCCTGTTTTCTGTTTCATGTCATCCCTTCTTTGCTTACTATTTTTCATTTGATTTGAACAGGAGTCCGTAGAAAGAAACAGGTTGGTGATGCTGACTAATGGGCACATGAGACGGCTCACCACGAGGAAGTGAGTTTTGAATTATTTTAAGCAGGAGTGTTTCACATATTTCGTAACCTTATTTATGGATTTTGATACACATATCTTTGAAGTAAATGAAAACAGTGAAGGTAATTACAACAGACAATAAATGAATAATCATGTTTAGGAAGGTTAAAAAATTTGATCATAAAATGTTACATTTAATGGTCTGTGGAAATATGATTACTAGATACGATAGCCTGTATCTTGTACACTGAGATGTTGACTGCAATTGTATCTGGCATATTGCGATGTAATGTATCTAGAGTTGGCATGTTTGATTACCCTGCAACTATATATTTAGTTGTAGAGTCAGCTTAATCGAATTTTTAAGGGCACCTTATATTTGGTTCATAACAAACAAAATAACGTATGCTGCTGTACGATAGAAATAAGAATCTGGGAATCAAAGAGTCATGGACCTTTTGGATTGTTTCTGAATTACTGATGTGGGATCTTTTTCAGCGCCTATGATTGAAACCGAAATTGAAGGTATGGTAATGGGGATAGCTGAAATTCTGCTATCCTGCTGAAAAATGCAGGTGTTTAATATTCAGTCCTTTGTTGCGATATCCAGTCATATAACATTAGGAATATGCCAAAATCTTTCAAGAATGTATAAAAAATACTGTAGAAAATATTATAAATTGTGTGAAAATGGTTGAGGAAAGGGTATCAAAAGACAAAATGCCTTTGTTTGTTATACAAGCAACTGCGTGTCGTATAACGATGAAGGTAAGAAAATTTTTTGATATTGCAAAGCAAGTGTTACATTGAGCTGTTATGGAATGATCGAGACTTGTACTGAGATCTTGGGAATGTGCAGTACCATCCACTGGCAATGCAAGCTCATGTTTTCGCAGGAATAGTGGTGGTGACAGGTGAAGTGAAAAATATGGGTGGGAATATTTCAAAGTTTAAACAGGCCGAGGACTTTAACCTGATACAAATTTATTGAATGCAACACAAACGATTCTACCAAAAAACGATATAATGTAATCTCTTTTGAGAATGAAATCATTAACGAACTCTCTGGGTTAGAATAAGTATTTTCAAACACAATTACCATTGTGCATCCGATTTGAATTATTGATGAGTGGATGAGTCTAAAATTAAATGGAAAAATATTACTGACCAAAAACAAGGCTTACGAGGGAAAGGAGAATTTTACGCTCGTACTTGCTGCTATTATTTTGTGAGACCTGTGAGCCACAGAAGAAGCAGCAGAATCAAGCATGCAGTCGCGGACTGGCCGCGGCATGAAGAGATTCAAAATCAATCAACCGAGGATGATAATATCGAAAATATGATCAAATATTTTGATTTGCCAATTAATACGGCAGTATGAATATGAAAATGATGATATTAGCTTACCTTCTTTTAGCTAAGTCATCAATGATGGCGAAACTTAGGGATCACAATTTCGTCCACCAATTGGATATATGCCATCAAGATAAAATCTTATATGGATAGAACCCGACTTGATTTTGGTGAGTCCGGAGGCGGGTAATGGTTCACTTGACCCATCCGTACCCCACCTAATATTTTTATATATTTTCAAGTATATATATATTTATGTGGATTTACGTTTGGTACTCTATTGTATGGTTTTTTAGGTTTTATTTAGGGATTTTATCTTATGGTATTGTGATTTATGAGGGGAGATTATTGATTAATTTGTATGCTTTAAGTTTTTAGGATTGATTTTATGTGATTTTCAGTAATGATTTATTTTTTATATATTAAAAAAAAATCTGGGATTGGGTATTTGATGGATACCCATAGACAAAATTCTTCATCGGATCCAACCAGAACAGTTGGTACTTGTGTAAGTATTCAAGATTGGCTGCAGATATACCAAAAGCTCACCTTGCCCCATATCTATCGCTAATTTCCCATCCCTATTTTTGCAACTTAAAAGGTTCCTTATGAGATGGGCTTTATATTACAAGAAATCCATCAATTAGCGATGCCAAGTCAACCGTCTCTAGCTTGGGACGGATTTGCGACAAAAATATTTTGAAATAGAATTGCTAGAGTATTGCGACAGAATATTGACAATAGATATAGTTCTGCCGCTAACATGCAACGTGTCGACACTAGTAACGAAACAACAACGGTTTTGTGAGGGAAGTAAACGCTGGAATATAACTTTTGTCGCTAATTCACATTTTTTGATTAATTAGCAATGGAAATATAAATCCATTGCTACTTAGAGATGACATAGCGACGAATTCTTGTGTTCTGTCACTAACTATATATTGTGGCCAAATTCTAGAACATTCAAAAAATAAAATGACTCATTTAAGTCATTAGGTAGAGATGGAATTTAGTTTTCCATCACTAACTATTAACTATGCCTCATTTTTTAAAATATCAAAAAATAAAATGATCAATTTAACTATGTATTAGCAATGGATACTTAACTACTAATTAGTGAGGGATTAGCGATAGAATTGTGTCCGTCACTAATTTTCAATCCCTAAATCGATAGGAACTCTTCTTCTTTCCCATTTTCTCTTTTCTCTTTCCATCTCGTCCTCTCATTCTCTCCTCCTCTTGCTGTCGCTGATTGCCTAAGCCCAAATTGACCACCCAAGGCGATGCAATTCCCTCCCCAAGCATCCTCTCAACCAAGGCAATGCTCCTCTCTCCTTGAAAACCGAGTGTTTCACTCATTGCTATTTCTCTTTCTCTACTTCTTTTTTTCATTCACATTACCTATTTATATTAATTGGTATGTTAGTTTTGATTAGTTAATTGATTCATTAGTTAATTTGTTGCTTTTGTTAATTGTTAAGATTTTTATGTTAATTAAATTAATTAATCCAAATTAGTGTTAATTTAGTTAGATATTTTCAATTAGGCTTAATATAAATTAGTTATTAGTTGATTAATTAGGTTAATTTAATTAGGTGAGTTGTTTTAAGTTAATTAAAATTAGGGTTAATAAGGGTTAAATTAGGGTTAAATAGGTTTAATTTAGGGTTAATTTGAGTTAAATTAGGATTAATTAGGGTTAAATAATGGCTCAATTCGGTTATTTTACGATTAAATTAGGGTTAATTAGGGTTCGATTATGGTTAATTCTAGTTAAATTGGGGTTAATTAGGATTAATTAGGGTAAATTTAGGATTAATTTAGGGCTAATTAGGTTTAATTATGCTTAAAATCGGGTTAATTAGAGTTAATTAGAGTTAATTTAAAGTAGTTCTTAGTTGATTACTTAAGTTAAATTTATTATGGTGAATTGTATTATGTTAATTTGAATTAAATTTAGGGTTAATTTGAATTAGTTGTTAGTTGATTAATTAGGTTTATTTAAATTAGGTTTCAATTAATTATGTTAATTTGAATTTATTAATTTAATTAATTAATCAAAATTAGTGCAAATTATGTTAGGTTAATTTTAATTAGGTTAATTTGATTAATTATGTGTTAAATGAATAAGTATGCTAATATTGATTAATTAGTTTTAATTTGAATTAGTATTGACGAAATTTAGATAAAAGATTAAATTATATTAATGATAACCAAAAAAATTATTGAAAAAAATTTACAAAAATATTTAACTTTATGCGATTTATTTTTTCATGCATTCATATACATATTTAATTTTGAACTCGGGTTGGATATTTACTTTAAATTGTTGCACACACCATAAGAAAACTTGTAAAAATTCTGAACCTAAGTTAAAACCCTATTATGATTTAGATAGAAAGATCTAGAGGCAAGTATAACAAAAATCTGTCGATACTCTTTTGAACTCTCGTTTGGACTAAAACTCACCCCACACATAAGAAATGATGGAATAACCTTTCCTTACCACGTTGTGCATAAGGTTAAAGACTCGAATTAGCCCATTGTTAATTTAGACAGTTCAAAAACGTGAAACGACTTTAGGATTAAATAAGTTTTGCTTAGACTATAGAAAAGCTAGAAAAATAAATTTATTTCAAATTTTCTTTTAATTAGAGTTATATGCTTTGATTATTTAATTTATGATTGTTGAAGTATGTCGAGATACATCAAAGCATATCAAACCCGAGGAGTCCGAGATCCTAAGAATTGAGGAGACATAAGATTGGTTCAATGCTTTGCGATAGAGCTAAGAGGATGAGTTTGGGATTTAATTTTGATGGAGTATCCAAGACAATTATTGGTCTTGGTGTGCGTTATGTTTGAGATTATTTGGATTATTTGTTAATTAGAACAAGGTGTAATTTACAAAAGAGATCGTTGAAATTTTATTAGATGTTCAAAAAAATTATTAATTAAATAATTTAGGAATCGGGAAACGTCTAATTTATAGGAATGTTGATCAAGAATTGTTTGCATGTGCTTGTATAATTTTTGCGGACATTAAAAAAAAATGAGATCCGAACAACAAACCGATGAATGTAAAGTTAGTTTATGGATTTTTAAATGATGAGTTTGTCAATGGGGTTGAACAATTTTTTGCTTGTTACAAATCAACCGGAATATATGGACGAAACCAAAATAAGGTGTCCTTGCAATCACGGTAAGTGTTATAACGAAATTTTGAGGTGAATGAAATTCTTAAACATCATTTGTGGCGTAACGATACTAGTGAAAAAGATTCATTGTTATGAGAGAAGTTACATGATCTATTGAGGTGAAGACGATGAATTAGATAAATATAAATTTTGTGCACATCCTTGATATTAAAGTCTCTATCGAGAGATAAAAAAGAGGAAAACTTGTTATAATAAAAAATATATACTACTTTTTGCTCACCCCATGATTCCGGAGATTGTATGCATCAAATGACAAAGCTGAGCGAGATGACATGACACTCCGAGCATGAGGTTAAGGATGTAGGATTAATGTGTCATCCCTCCGACTCTATTGCATTGTAGAGTTTACGTAACACTTTTGACCTAGGACCTAAAATAGGTCAAGAGTACTACCGACAATGCCTTACATTTGAAGGCAATGCTTCACATTCAAAATATAATGAATGCAAGGCACGAAGCCTCATGACATTTACTATTTTAAAGTAATTAACATTTACGGTGAAAGTTCCTTAATTTAAAAAGTTTAGGTCCATATTTTTTATTCATCACACTCTAGTTACGAGATATATTTCATTAATCTTTCAAAGATAACTCACTAATAATCTTTATTTAAACTCAACTCAAGAAAAAATAGTTTGAGATCTCCTAATGAAATATTTTTAGTCAAATCATACTTGTATAAAATAGAAACTAACTTAGTCTTCATAAAACATATTAAGTTGTAAATAATATTTCTGAAAATATAGTTGTGAAAACAATGTTTACGAGAACATACAACGTTTCTAAAATATGCATACGAAAATATATTATGTAATAATTATCTCAAAACCATATAAAGTATACTCATTTTCATTTAATCAAACCCTTTATGTTTTAATCCTTATCTTAAGAAAAACTAAATAATTCACTTAATCTTTTGAAAACTAATTTAATTTATAATTTGACCTATCCATTTAATTAACTTATACTAATTAAAACTATTTAATATTTTTAAATGTTGACCTTTTATTAATTTGACTTTTAATTTCTATTTTATCAACTTAATTCCCTAGTCTAATTAGCAATTTACCTACCAAATCAACTAATTAATAACCATCTTGAAATATTTATCAACTAATTCATTCCTAATCTAAATTAACAAATTTATCTAGATCATTTAAACTTGTACTAATTTTTACCGTACACTTTGACAAGCTCTTGTAGCACCTTTCTCTTCAACTCATCATCAACTTCACTTAGAGTCTTTATACGTTTCGAATACCTCTACCCAAAGACAACTTGATGAGCTTACGCTCGATAAGTGTAGTCATGTAATACATGATGCAATGAAATACATTTTCATGACTTTAAAATATATTTTCTATGATTGGGTGCATCCTACCAAATAGATTTATATATATTCGGCTATCCATGAAAACCATATCTATGAAAACCATGAAAAGCACTAGATATGTCCCTATAAAGCCTATGACTTTCACAATTGTGAACTATGATTAAACATGTGATCTGTGATGCCCACAAAGAGTTTATCATTCTCTTTGTATGCCATGACTAAGCTTGTGATTGTGATTGAGACATGCCTATTCATATTTTTAAAAATCCATGCATTTGATTTTATCCTTGAAAACATGATTAAAACCATTTTATGACGTGAATGCAATCACTAACATGATACATGATCTTTGAACTTTAATTAGGCATGTAGGCCAAAATCAACTATCCA